CAATCGCACACTGCTATTTATTAGTATTTCCCCAAAATATATATTTTCTCCCCGTTTATTTCTTTTACTCGTGAAGAAGTGGCAGTGTGAGGCGGCCTCGTTGCTTCAAACTCACCCCGTTCCCAAGAAAAATGCGCGGGGAGAAGGAGCCGGCAGGACCCGTCGCAATCACTTTGGGGCCGACCAGAAAAACTCCCTTAGTTCCGTCCTTAAATTTGAAGTGTGCTATTTTTTTTTCCTTTTGTATGATAAAAAACACCCTAGAATGTAAATGGTTTTCTTTTTTTTTTTTTTAAGCTGATAGCGATGATATATCGTGATATAGCGTCTTAACATTTATTAATTTATATTAAAAATGGTAATAATTCGGTTTGTAAAGAGAAGCAAAGCCCTTTGCAAGACCAGTTAAATGTAATGCACTTTCTGTTAAAAAACAAAACGAAAAACGACAAAAAAACAACGATAAATCAATTAAACCCGTTTAAAGACGTCTGCTGCCTTCACTAAAGGGGACGGATAAGCCGAGCTCCGCCGAGATTCAATAATAAAACCGATGGTCCAAAAAAAAAAAAAAAAAAGACAACAAAAGAGATAATTTCGAGCATCTTTTGTTAATTCTTAATAGCGTTTTTTTCCATCTTTTTTTTTTTTTTTTTTTTAATAATGATGGAAATTGTCCCACGATGCTTGAGCGCGAGGGCTCAAGCACAGGACAGATGAAATGAGCAGCCGCTTATTTGGGGGGATGGAAACAGGTTTTTTGCACCGCTTTGGCGCTTTCCCCCCTGGGGCCGCCCCGAGAGAGCCCAGGGAGGCATCATCTTCATATACATCTCCCATTTCTATACATACCCCTATATATATCCCCCCCACATAGGTTCATCGCCGGCGGATATGGGGGGCATCCACGCTGTTTTTAAGCGGGCGGCACAAGCCGTTAGCAAGGGCGAAACGCCACTTTTTTTTTTTTTTTAGCGAAAACAAAATTTAAAAAAAAAAAAGATTTTTTTTTTTTTTGCCCCAAGGAAAATAACAAAACGGAACAAAATAAAAAACGATGCGTAAGAGAGCTCGAGAGTAAAGAGCGGGATGGCAACAACTGTTTCAAACTGAAACTCCTCATCTCGCCCTGATCATTGCCACATCTAGACAGAACGGAAACAATCGCTTTCTATWATCGTTAGAAATATTTCTTTTTTTAACGGCGGCGGCGGAGCAAAACCAGAAGCGCCGACATTACCGAAAAAGGGATCAGCCCTTCTGCAAATTAAAAAGAAACCCCTTAAAAAGGGGGGAAAGAAGAGGCCCCCCCGGCACCCCCCGGCCCCGGTCGGGCTGTTCTCCTGTTTCCCGCCGCCGCTGCGGAGCCCGAGCCCGAGTCGCTGCTTCGCCCCGGGCACCTCCCGCCTCCCTACGGGCTTTCCCGCCGGGAAAGGGGGGGACGAGCAGCGGGGCCGCCCCCAGCCCCCGGCCGGGTCGCGGGTGCCCGGCCGCTCCGCGCCCCGCGTTACCGCCGCTACGAGGGCGCCGCCACCTCCTAAAAGTCGCCTCAAGCCAGGCCGGTAATTCGTCTTCATGCAAACACATCCCTGTCGAGCCATTAGCGTATTGCTCTTTTGCTCTCTGAGTTTTTCTTTCCTCTTTTTTTTTTTTTTTTTGAAATTATTTTTTATTATTATTAAAGTGCATTCTTTCTAATCCAGCCCGGTTAAAATACGAGCGCTATTGCCCAAGAATTATAGCGACTATTAGAGTAACATATGGGCAACAGGCACTCAGAAAATAAAAAGCAACAGATAAAGTGGCGGGGTCACACCGGGGAGCAAACACTTAACAAAATGGCAGCGGGGTAATAGATTTTTTTCTTCCTTTCTTTCTTTTTTTCGCGCGGGGGGGGACAGTGGCACTGGGGAGGCCCGCGGGGGAGCCGGGCGGCGCTCCGCCCCGAGCGCGGCGCTGGGCGCGGGGCCGCA